CTCGCTGGTGTAATAAACTGCACTCCGCTATCTGCACTGTCCTTTTGAGTGAGTTTGTTTTCTAGAACATGTGGCTGCAACAATAGGTCCACCACATCCTTTCTCGGAAGCCATGGTGCCCACAGTTGAGAGCCTCTGCATAAATTGCTGACATCTGACCAGCTCTGGGCTTCCTGTGGCCACTGGTGGCAGACTGGTGGCTGGCCACGGCTGCTTTTGGGGTGTGGTGGCTTCGGCCATCTGCTCAGCCCTGCCCTTCCAGATGGGGTCAGCTCTGCACGGCCCTAAAGACTTGGGGTCACAAAACCCTATGTGTCAGTATGCCACTTGGTCATAAACTTTTTTCTGCTCTTTGCCTTTCCATTGTGTAGATTTTAATCCTCTCGACGCACAATGTGAGAGTTGAGAGTTAAATTTTGTTTAGGGGCAAAATGAGGGCTTCCCAAGTGGCGCTAGTGATAAAGAATCTGCCTGCCAGTGCAGGAGACATAAGAGATGTGAGTTTGATCACTGGGTCATGAAGATCCCCTGGAGGAGGGCGTGGTAACCCACTCCAGTATTCTTGCCTGGATAATTCTCATGGACAGAGGAGCCTGGTGGGCTACCGTCCCTGGGGTTGCAAAGAGTTGGACACAATTGAAGCAACCTATCACGCATGCGTGAGGGCTGCAGCGTGGGAGACAGTGCCTCAGATAGCTCTGAGCTCCCTCCAAAGAGGGAGTGGGGAAAGGTTAATGTGCAAGACTTCAGTGAAGGGAGATTCAGTGCAATCAAGCGCTTACTCTACAAGAGGTTTCCTGCAAGTTAGGAGGAGCTGATGTCATGATGAAGGGATTTAGTGCTTTTCTAGAGGTGAGGAGATGCAGGTATTCATGAAATCAGTTCCTGAAAATATCTAACTATCTAAAGACCTGTTCCACCAGTTCCCTGGAGGGCAGAGTGCCTCAGTCTCCACCCTGGATTCCCCTCAAGGCGTGTGGAAGGTCAACGGCTACAGTAACACAGGGCTCAGTCTCCACAGAGGCAGATGGCCAATGCCCCTGACAAGAGCCAATTTGTGGCTGAGACGCTAAAGAATCCATCTGCAATGCGGGAGACCTGGGTCTGGAGGAGGGCATGGCGACCCACTCCAGTACACTTGCCTGGAGAATCCCCATGGCCAGAGGAGCCTGGCGGGCTACAGTCCATGGGGTCACAAAGAGTCGGACACGACTGAGCGACTAAGCACCCAGCACCTACTTAAAACTTTTTTTTTTTACTGAAATATAGTTTTTTTTTTTCCAATATAGTACCTATATTTTCATTTTGCAGATTTTTAAATTAAGTGTGGGGAAAAGTTTGTGCTCAATTAGAGATCACAATCTATGGAATCCAAAGAACTAAGGTTTGAGCCCTGATTCTATCCAAACTGTTTCTGCTTCCTGCCCTTGGGTGAGTCATTCTTCAGTTCCTTTGTTTCTGAGGCAGGGAGAGCAGTACTAGGGTTTTCAGTCAGGCCAGTGCCCCTCACCCCAGCTTTGTTCAGGCATCAACTGTAATTAATAAAACACTTTGCAGGACTTCCCTGGTGGTACGGAGTAAGACTGTACTCCCATGACAGTGGGGGGGCCTGGGTTCGATTCCTGGTTGGGGAACTAGATCCCGTATGCTGCAAGGAAAGATCCCACGTGCTGCAACTAAGACCTGGAGCAGCCAAAGAAATAAGTAAAGAACAGTGCATTTTGCTTAACACGATTTTTCCAATTTTTCCATGATTATTGTTTGAACATACAATACAATAAAAAATTGTTGAGATGTTCTGCAATCATTTTTTTTCAATAAGTCTTGGCAATCTGGTGTGTTTTATACTCAGAGCACATCTCATTTTGGACTCATCACGTTTCTATAACTCAGTCGTTGAATATGGCTGGTGACTGCTGTGTTGAACCGCCCAGGTCTGGGTCTTGAGGAACAGAATGAGGGGACACCAGCATAAAGGGTGAACATGCTGACAACGATGCACACCCACTCTGCCCTGCAATTCCATTTTTAGAGAGTTGTCTTCAATAAATCCTCATACATAGGCACCAGTATGTATGTGCTAGGATGCTTCCTGTGATATGGACAAAAACAATGGAAATCACCTAAAGTTCCACCAACAGGGAAGTTTCAAACTAACAGTGGACTTACGGCACTACTAAGACAACATGAGTTGCTTAAATGTATTTACAAAAACATCATTCTGGAAAAAGTGATCAAAGCATGTTATCGGAACAATTGATGAAATGGGAATGAGGATGGCGACTTATATAAGGTGACCTATTACACATTTCCTTATTGCTTTTATACTGTCCTGGCCACTTCTTGTTACATTTGAATTTGCACCAACATAAGGTGGCTTAGACGGTAAAGAATCTGCTTGCAGTGCACCTGGGTTCGATCCCTGGGTTGGGAAGAGCCGCTGGAGAAGGGAATGGCAACCCACTCCAGTCTTCTTGCTTGGAGAATTCCATGGACAGAGGAGCCTGGCTGGTTATAGTCCATGGGGTCACAAAGAGTTTGACATGATTGAGTGACTAACACTTTCACTTCCGAAAGTTGTAAGAATTATGCTGAGAAGCAGTTAATAACTTCTCCAAGGGTCCAGGACATAGCAAATGTTAAGAACCTGTGATTTTAAGGCAATGCCCAGTTCAGTTCAGTTCCTCAGTTGTGTCCGACTCTTTGCGACCCTATGGACTGCAGCACGCCAGGCCTCCCTGTCTATCACCAACTCCCAGAGCTTGCTCAAACTCATGTCCATCGAGTCAGTGATGCCATCCAGCCATCTCATCCTCTGTTGTCCCCTTCTCCTCCTGCCTTCAATCTTTCCCAGCATCAGGGTCTTTTCCAGTGAGTCAGTTCCTTGCATCAGGTGGCCAAAGTATTGGAGCTTCAGCTTCAGCATCAGTCCTTCCAATGAATATTCAATATTCAGGACTGATTTCCTTTAGCAATGCCCAACTGTGGTCCAAGAATCTTAATAATCGGGAGGGTATAGCCTGGCCTCCTGACTCTCCTACAGCTCACGCGCCCTCTTAAGGTCAGAGTTGGTATAACAACCATGCATTCCTATCGGCAAAGAATCCCCTCTGCGAAGACCTTCAAAATCCTCGTTGAGTAAGTCCACCACACATGGCTCCATCTAGCGGAACCAAACTTTGCCAAACACCGTGCACTCACACGTCTATTCCCAAACACAAGAATCACATTTATAAAAATCTAGGAGAGTACATTCCAAACTGCTAATAGGAGTTTCAGAAGGGTGATTGTCAGGGGATTTTTCAACGCTTTATTTCGGGGGGATGGGGGGGAGTACATTTCTGGATTGTTCAAATGTTTACATGGATCATCTCTGCTATGAAAAGAAAGTTATGTCTCCACAAATTGAAGCTTGCTGTAGAAGAATACTATTTGGGGAAGAAGGATGTGGGTGATCTATCAGAGCGTTGCAGGTGAGCGTGGGAAAAACGAATCTGTTTCTACCCTCATCGTACTAGTTATGCTCCATTGCTATAGACTGAAAAATCGTTCCCAGGGATGTTCGCCTCCTAATTACTGAAACCTGCAGGATGACTTTATGTAGGAAAAGGGAAGTGGCAGATAAACTAATGATCTTGAAATGGAAGATTATCCTGGATTATTTAGGGGGTTCTTTTTGGGGGGCTGCACTGGGTCTTTGTAGGTGGCTCAGTGTAAAGATTCCACCTGCCAATGCAGGAGACGCAGGAGACTCAAGTTTGATCCCTGGGTCGGGAAGATCCCCTGGAGGAGGAAATGGCAATATACTCCAGTATTCTTGCCTGGTGAATCTCATGGACAGAGGAGCCTGGCGGGCTATAGTCCATGGGGTTGCAAAGAGTGGGACATGGCTGAGTGACTGAGCACCCACACACGGGTCTTCGTTGCGTTGTGTGGGCTTTCTCTAGTTGCGGTAAGGGGAGGCTATTCGTTGTGGTCCTTGGTTTTCTCATTGTGGTGGTTTCTCTTGTTGTGGAGCACGGGCTCTAGGCATCTGGACTTCAGTCATTGTACCATGCAGGTTCAATAGTTGAGACTCTCAGACTTAGTCACTCCACAGCATGTGGAATCTTCCCGGGCCGGGGATCAAACCCGTGTCCCCTGCATTGGCAGGCAGATTCTTATCCACTGCACCTCCAAGGAAGTCCCCTAGAGGGTTCTTAAATGTAATCACAAGGGTGCTTATACCAGGGAGGCAGAGGGAGACTAGTGACCCCCAGTAGGAGGGAAGGAGATGTTTCTGTCCTTAGAGGCAGGTATTGGAATGATGTGGCCACAAGCCACAAGCTGGCAGTCAGTGGAACTGGAAGAGGCAGGAGCAGACTCTACTCTGGAACCTACAGAGGGAATGCAGCCCTGCTGACCTCTGGCCTCTAGAACTGTGAGAAGATACATTTCTGTTGTTTTAAGTTACTCAGTTTATGGAGCTTTATTACAGCAGCAATAAGAAGCTAACAGTTTCTTCCCCACCCCAGACTCCAGCGTGTTTCACAAGAACCCAGAAAGGGGCTGGGAAAGATGGTGATGGTTAGACAAGAAGATGAACAGTCCTCAAGTACTGGGCCATTTCACAGACTTGCTTTGCCTCTCTGGGTCTCAATGGAACCCAGTTGGAAGGCTGGGGCTCACAATCAATCCCCAATTCCCAGGTTTAAGCCAATTGAACCCCTGAGCTTTTTCACTGCTACCTGGGGCCATAGAAGGAAAGAGAGAGCCTCTCAAATGGGGGAACTCAAGGCTGAGAGAAGGGCCAGGTCTAGACAAGGTGGGGGTCTCTAACGTCTGGCTTCCTTCCTCCTGGGACCTGGAACTTCCTCCTGGCCCCTTCTGTGGAGCGGCTGGAGGAGGTGTTCAGGGTTCACTGGGTGTGTGTCTTGCGGAAGAAACCCTGAGCCCCAGACCAATGAGAACCCCAGAGGGGTAAGACGGGTCATTTCCTCTCTGGTTATCTGTGCCCTCCCTTGGGGCTTGCAAACCACAGCCCTCGGGAGCCTTTGATCAGAGGAGAATCTGGGAGAGACCTGAAGATGGTGAGTCTGGGGGGGAGTGGGGGGCAGACACCTGCTATGTGTGTGGCCCCCCTTTTCCTTCCTCTTCCCAGTCCTTGAGCTCTCCCCTTCTCCCCTCGCCTTCCTCTCCCCCTCCAGGGCTGGGAAGCAGCTAAGGAGTAAGACTGTCAAGGGATTATAGGGCCCGAGATTAGCTTTGACTTTTCCTTTCTGTTAAATAATCCCAAATAGTTTGAAAATTTTGTTTCTACACATTTTATTATTCACTCATGATTTTTTTTTAATTGAAATGTTTTAATTCCTTTCTCTGCTCAGCTGATGCTGAGATCCATATTTAGTTTTATAAGCCAATTCCTGTGTTTTTTTGGCTCATGAGATTTTTTTTTTTTTTTTTGGTCATGGAAATGTAGGAGTGGAATATTAATACATTTCAGTTTAGTTCTGTAATGTCAGAAATTTTTTTTAAAGAAATTAAAAGATGGACTAGAGCTTTTTCTTTGTGAATACTAATAATTAAAAAAAAAAAAAGTCCCAAATCCCTAAAGGGTATTCAGTGAAAGGATCGTCCCTGCCCAGAGACTCAGATTCTTTGTAGCTCTGGTTCCTTGTGACCAGAAACATGGGGGGTGGGATTAGGGTGCCAGTTTGTGGCTAATACTTCTGGAAACAGTCCATGACAGTGTTGGGAGTAAGGAGTATTTTTGACATGGAGATCGTACTGAAACTGGGTTCGAATCCTCCCTGTCTTATGTAAAAGCTGAGGAGACTCATCTTTCTGAGCCTCCTTCTCCTTATCACTAAGGAGATAGTCACCCTACAGAGTGAAATCTGTATTGTACGGTCATGGAGAGAGTTCAGTGAGATAATACATGGGAAACTCTTTCAGCAGTGCCCGGCATACAGCTGGCGCTCAATGCCTGTGATGTGTCTATCCTTTCTCCCCCACCTACCCTGCAAAGAGAAGTCTTTTTTACATGATATCCCTACATCTCGCTTTTTTTTCTTACATGAATAATTTATAATATCATTGACAACATTCACCTGCATGCCAGGCACTGTGCTAGGCACTTGACATTTACAAACTTCAGCTTAATCTGTGAGAAAGATACTATTATATCCTGGTGTATTTCAGGGAAATTCCCATTTTCTTTTTATCAGCTGTGTGATATGCCAGTGAGAGTGTCCATCACTTATCAACGGAAATTTAGGCTGTTTGTCTTCAAAACCAAAATTAGAAAATCCCCTGGTGGTCCAGTGGTTAAGAGTCACTGCTTTCATTGTCATGGGCCTGGGTTCAATCCCTGGTCAGGGAGATAAGATCCCACAGGCTGGGCAGCCAAAAAAAACCCCCAAACCCCAAACACCAGAATTATATCTTTGGATTCATGTCTGGGTTTTCAGAACTTCAAATGCTGAATCTAAGACATAGACAATTTTTATTTTAACAGATATTTCCAAAACCTGTACCAATTTATATTCCTCATTTTCAGAGCAGGAGAGTATTTACTTGTCTAGAAACCCATCTGCATGGTTAGATGGAGCTATTTTTGTTTTTGCCCACCTGAAAGGTAGTTCATCGCATCCTGGAAGGATCCGGAGGTTTGTCTTTTTCACATGGCTTTTAAAATGCAAATGCCTGCGTTTCTTCGTGCTCAGGGAGGTTGAGTCTCAGAGACTGTGCAGATTCAAGAAGATGAGTCGAGATGCTCACCCACTCCCTTGTATCCCAGTGTCTGAGGATGCTTTAGTGGTTTTATGTGGTTCTGCGGGTGGATTGTGTAAAGACCTTGTGTCCACGTAGACATGGGGAGAGGGATGTTCCGGGGAAAAAAGCAGACCGTGCCTTCTGGGTATTTCCTAGCCCTGACAGTATTCCTGAGTCTATTATTTCCACAGTAAAGGAGGGCACAGTTGGCAGGACGTTCCCTGCTCCGAAGATGGCAAGACTGAGGCCCCGAGAGGGAGGGAAGGGGTGCGTCGTCCCTAAGTCTCCTGCCTTTCTCCCTCCTCTGGGCATCACTCCCACCTTTGCTGGCCTGAGTCCCTGCCCCAGCCTCCTCTCTGATCCTCTTGCTTAAAGGAGGGCACAGTTGGCAGGACGTTCCCTGCTCCGAAGATGGCAAGACTGAGGCCCCGAGAGGGAGGGAAGGGGTGCGTTGTCCCTAAGTCTCCTGCCTTTCTCCCTCCTCTGGGCATCACTCCCACCTTTGCTGGCCTGAGTCCCTGCCCCAGCCTCCTCTCTGATCCTCTTGCCTTTAGTCTCACCTCCCCGCAGCAGCGAGAGGCACCTTCCTAAACAAGAACTCTCATCGTCCTTCTGTGGCTCAAAGACCATCTATGGCTCCCCATTACCCCAGGATAAAATACATCTCCTTTAACGTGACGTCTGCGGCCCCTCCAACCTTGTCCTGGCTACCTGCCAGCCACGCGGATGTTCTTTCCCCTTCTGGTGTGTGACAGCCTCCCTGTTACCTGGTGACCCTTTGCCTTGAACGCATGCCCCTCACTCCCACCACGCCTGAGGCCTGGTAACCTCTCAGAGAAGGTTCTAGGGTTGGACTGTCTGAGGGTCTCTCCTCCCTCTGCCACTTGCTAACAGCGAGGACCTGGAAAGGTCTCTTAAGCTGTCTGTAGCCTCAGTTTTCTCATCTGCAAAATGGGTGTTGCAATGGCGAAAAAAAAAAAAAGGAAGAGCTGATGCATGAAAAGGACTTAGAACTTGGTGATTCTGATTGCTTTTCTCCTAAGCATTTTCTCCTTAGCCCTGTTCTCCTCTGATCCATTCATGAGTCCTCACTGTCACCACCCTAGTGCAAACCACCATTGTCCCACACCACAGCTGGACAATCCTAATCGCCTCTTCTTCTCAGCTTCTGATCTGGCCCTTTCTCCACGCAGTAGGCAAGGGCTCTTAAAATGAGCCTGTGATCTTAGGAAAAAAGGAGTACCCCGCCTTTGGGCTTGTTGTAGCATAAACAGTGCGGTTAGAGAATTAAGGAACTAACACCTAGGAAGCACTTGGGAATCGCCTAGGATCCCCAGACCACTGGTGTCTGAGAGGCAGCCACCAGCCACACGTGTCTGGTGAAACTTAATTAAAATGACAGCAAAGTATAAGTTCAGTTCCCAGACACACCTGCCACACGTCACGGACTCCACGGCCATAGGTGACTGGCGGCTACCATCCTGGATGGCACGCCTCTGGGACATTCCCATCAGGGCAGAAATTTCGTCTGGACCGAATTACGATTTTTTTGCTCTTTTTCATTGCTACTTAGTTCTTTGCTGTTGCTTAGTGGCTAAGTCATCTCCGACTTTTTTTTTTGCGACCCCATGGACTGCAGCCCTCCAGGCTCCTCCGTCCATAGGATTTCCCAGGCAAGGATACTGGAGTGGGTCACACGGTGCTGTGGCTTGATTTTTCCAACACCCTTCTCGTGATCCCCCACCAGGCTGGATTCTCTGTAGAACATGCTCAGTTCCCATCCCTGGTGATTAATTTCCTTCTCGCAGGAGACCATAACCTCTCCAAGGACAGGTGCCAGGTATGTCAGGAGCCAATCTCTAGTCTGTTAACATTTATGCGATGAAGAAATATGCTTAGACTCTTTTCTGGACTCCTAGAATGGTACTCGAGTTTGTGCTCAGTCGCCAAGTTGTGTTCCACTCTTTGAGACCCTGTGGACTGTACCCCGCCAGGCTCCTCTGTCCGTGGGATACCCCAGGCAAGAATACTGGAGTGGGTTACCATTTCCTTCTCCAGGGGATCTTTCTGACCCAGGGAGCAAACGTGCATCTTCAGCTTGGCAGGTGGATTCTTTACCACTGAGCCACCTGGGAAGCCCCTTCTAGAATGGTAGAACCACAGATTCTTTTGTAGAGGCTATGTAATATCCATTTCTGGGGAGAGGGGAATGGGTGGTGTATTCACTGATATGGCTCTCCATACCAGAAGAACAAAAGCATATATGGTGAGGGACTTCCCTGGCAGTCCAGTGGTTAAGATTCTGTGCTTCCAATGCAGCAGATGCAGGTTCGATGACCGGTCGGGGAGCTAGGATCCCACATGCCTCTTAGCAGGGGCCAACCCTGCTCCCCTTCCCCCCAAAAAAGTATACCAACCTCCTGCTTCCCTTCCCCTGGGGCAACCAGTGTTCCAGATTTCCTCTGCCTGCTTCTGGAGCTAGTCTGTACAGACACTCAGGAGAGAGAGAGAGAGGGGAAGTGGTGAGGAGGGGAGAGGGGGTTGGTGGAGAGAGAAAAACAGAGAGGAAGAATGACTCCTCTTTGGTAGGTAGTGTTACTTCACACACTGTTCTCACTTGTTCTATTTCACCCTAGATCTTGGAGTTCTTTCCACACTCACCCTTAGGTAAACTTCCTAGTTCTTTTGCTGGTTGCATAGAATTATTTTGCCTGGATGTGTCATCGTTATTGAGCCACTGGCCTGGACGCTTCAGCTGTTTCCCTTCTTTGTAGAGATACTGCCATGGCTAAACTTTGCAAGTCATTTACATCGGGAGGATCCTAGAAACCACAGAGCATTAGAATCAGCATCTTTGTCCTGCCCTCGTGAAGTCAGTGATAGGGAAGGGCTGCATGAGCTCATCCCAGGCGAGGATGTTAGTCAGCTGATGTGAGCATGGGAGCGGGCGGGGGGGCGGGGGAGGCATCCCGCTCTGGGGTCTGGGTTATTCTGCAGCATAGTCCAGAGCTTGTGAAATGAGCAGAGATTGAAGTTAGCTTCGTGTTATCACGTCCGAGGTGGACACTTAAAACATTTAATCACCTGCTATAGTGCAGGGTCCCCCTGGGCAGGATCTGGGGCCTCTTGCCATGCCCAGCACTGACCCTTCAGTGGTCTGAGCTTGGGGGTCCCAGAGTAGAAAAAGAGAGGTCAGGGTGCTGGGGGTGAAGATGGTCAGGTGGATGGCTCAGAGCAGAGTCTCCTTATCAGTGGAAATAAAGCAACCATTTTAACTCTTTGGAAACATCTTCACACTTACAGAAAAAATTACAAG